AAGCAGCTAAACAAGTGGAAACAACAAAAGTTAGTTTAATTTGTATGCGAATAAGTTGATTGTTGACAAATATTTATTTTAGAGTTATGGTGCTCAAATAAAAAGTCTTGTTGGGTCATTTTGGTTTGGAAATAAACAGCTTGTTTAACTAGATTGTTTTTTTCTTCTTCTTGTGTTCATTATTTATACTCAGTATCAGATCTTTGATTTAGCCACTTTTGTTGCTGTGTGATTTTTTTTGTTTCTTTGTTTTGATAGAATAATGATAATTTGTTTTTTTTTAAATTTGGAATTAGAATTATTTATATGAATAATATGGTGGTCAGTTTGATAATACATTTTTTTTCAGAAATAAAAAGTAAATTTGTAAAAAACATGAGTGAATCAACTATGAATGTGGAAAGTACAGGTAAAATAATATATATATATAAATACTGTTTTTTGAAGAAACATATAATTTTAATTTAGTTATTGATGGAAGTTTTTATCAACCACTTGAAAGTACTCGTTTAATCAGATCATCGAATGTAAGAAAGTCAGAAATATATGTATCTATTTATTTGAAGTATTATTCTAGTGGTCACCTAATGATACAACAATACGTTCATCAAAAACTATTCCATGTGTTACAAAATGTATGATATAATCATTCTTTCCTTTTTTTTAGTTTCTTCTTCATCTGTTAAATTCTGTGAATATTGACAGTCGAATATAACAGCTTTGTAGACTAGTGTGAATATTTTATGTATTTGATTTTAGCCGAACAACAATTGTATAAATTATATGCTCAAGCATTAGCTGATTCAGAAGTAACACACGACTGGAGTAGTTGGGTTGAAATGATGACAATTAATTGTCAGAAATGTTGTTCTGAAGCTGAGATTTCTCATCCAATTGCTTTTCGTACCGGTCGGCAATCGTAAGAAGAATTTGATTTTCTTCTATATATATAGACATATTTTCTCTCTAGGCAATTATCTCGAAATATTCGTATGTTACAAATCGAACGTGATAGTTGGCTTCTATGGAATCGAGCACGTGATACATTAAATAATACTCGACAAGATCTTCCTGAAGTGGTAAATATTATTAGATTTTCTTCATATCATTGAATGTACATATACATGTTGTTTTTTTGATAATCAGATTCCGGGTAGTAGTGATCGATTAATTGTTGAACATCATCTTTTAAATAATCCTCAATTACGTATGGCTAAAGCTGTACAAGGATGGTTACAGACAACAAAACTTGATGAACGTTATCAAACAGATCTTAAAATGGCTATGACTAAACTAGAACCAAAAAGAATTTATTGGTTTGTTTATTGATTTAATATCTATTGATAAAAAATTCTTTTTTCTATTATTTAGGGAAAAAACATGTCATTTTCTTAAATCATCATATAATGCAAATATTCCTAATCCATATATCACTTGTTTAGTAAGAATTAATTATAAATAGTATTGATATGAAAATATACTAATAGGATTTTGATGCTGCTCATAAACAAAAACGACGTTTATGTGATACTGATGAACAAGAAGAAAATGATTTACTTCAAATAGTTTTTTCTTTATTACGTGTTGGTGAATATTCAAAAGTAATTTTTTTTGTTTAAAATATAAACAAAGAAATAATAAAATCGTGTTTTAATTTCAAGGCTAAAAACTTATGTAAATCAACTGGTTATCATTGGTTAGCTGCTTTATTAAATGCAAATGAATTGTATCATGATGAAAATTATTATTGTTCAGAAGCAAATGATATTGTTTATCCTGTCGAAGGAAATCAAAAACGTATTCAATGGATTGAAAGCATGTTTGAATTGTGTATGGATGTAAGTTTATTACCATCATATAATTACTTTTGAATATGTCTTGAAATCCGGAAAATCTCTGATATCGTTCTAACAGAAGAGAATGATAATATTCTTTCGTAAATATTTATGGTTTTCCACGTCAACCATAATTATCGGCTACCGAAAGAACTGAACCTGAGCTCTCATAGTCCTACTTGCCAAATATTTCGAGGACGATCCGATCGATCTCGTGGGACTTTCTTTATTGGTAGCTAGTAAAAAGTGAACTACGTCACCTCTCTTCAAATCAAATGGTTTTTCTTCTTTCTTGTACATGCTTCTTTGGTATATAAACTGTTGAATCTTTTTATAAAATTTTCCGGATTTTGGGACAATACCTTACTTTCGAGATCTATTTTTCTTAATTGAAACGAATGTAAATATTTATTTAGATGCGTTTAAAATTATACGAACGAGCAATCTATGGTTTATTATGTGGTCGAATTGAAGCTTTAATACCAGTATGTAAAACATATGCTGATTATCTTTGGGCATATACTTCATGTTATATTGAACAAGAAATTCATCATATTCTTGTGTATGTTTATCGAAGAAAATCTTTGTTTTTTTTTAGTTGAATTTTTGTTTATAGATATGCTCATCAAAATGAATTAAATGATGTTGATAAACATCGTGTTCTTTCTAATGATGAACTTGGTAATCATCAATTAAAAATGACAACAATATTTGATGAAATTCTAGCTGAATGTCCAGCACATATACGCGATGAAGCATTATTACCATTTAATCAAATTGAAAAATATTTAATACTGGCTAACTATGATCGTTTATTTGATAGTATATTATCATTTTTACATACAAATGAATCCAATGGAAGTTTATTACGTTTTTCTACACATATATGTTTATTTTTATATGAACAAAATCATTCGGAAAATTTTAATCAAAAAAATTTTATTGAAATTTTAACAACATATATTGGTCATCTTATTGAATTAGAATTTAAAGATCTTGTTTGTTATTATATATCAAAATTACCATTAAATAATCAATGTATAAACAAATTTCAAATTCTCTTTTTTTGTTTTAATCAAAATTTTTTATTTTGTATTTTAGCAACATTAATGGCAACATTTTTAGATACATTATCAAATCGACAAGATAAAGAACATTATTTAAAGCAAGGTTTTACATATAAAATTGATATTGATACATCATTATTAAAACTTGCTGCTAATCAACAACGAGAACAAACATTTGATAAGAATAATACAGATGAAATTATTTCAACAAATTTAAAAAATCTCAATGAAGTATTGATTTATCTTTGTAAATGAAATGTTTTATTTTTCGTTATTTAGAATGATCATAAACAATTAGAAGCATTAAAATTATTAACAACATTTTTATCAACACAAACATTAGATGCACTTCGTTTTGCTAATCGTATATGTCGGTATTTTCTTAATGATGCGAAATATGAAGGAATTCGTATCGCTTTATCATATTTTCCACATGACATTGATATTCATACTGTATGTTAAAGATTTGATCTATAATTAGAATTTTTCATTTGAAAATATTTTAGATTGAAGCAAATAATCGACAACAATCAGAAGATGATCTACGAGAATTTAAAGCATTTGGAGCTTATATTGTAAGAATATTTTTTTGTTCTTAAAAGAAGGGTGTCGGTATGATCGTGAGTGCTGCTTCCCGCTCAGATATCCACCCACACCCTCAATTAGATAGAAGACATTCTTTATAACTAAAAATATACTGATATTTATTCAGGCAGCTATTGAAGCTATTCAACGTTGGTCTGAAATGCATCAAAAACAACAGCAACAACAAGATAATACATCTAGTGTAGTACGTGATGATCAAGCTTATTTACCAATTGTGATAAAAGCTTGTTATGGTGTATTTGATTATGCTCAAGGTTGGCTAGTTGATAGCACGGTATTGTTATTTCATCTATAAACATATGTTTTCTTTTTCAAACATTTTATACTTATAGAATATTCATCAATCATTACCAGATAATGAAAGTCGTCAAATTGAAATGTCAATCTTACGTCATAAATGTATTCCAATGTTAGCATGTAATCTTTTTCGTATATTTGATTTAATTAAAGAAGATCAAGAAACATTTCGTTTAATTGTCTTTCTATCTGACAATCGAAAACAACAACTTTATTCAGTAAATAAAATAAAATTTTCTTTTAAAATTAATTTATCATTTTTATTTTCTATTGTAGTTATTTTCAAAAGAAACTCTTAATTCAGTACTTTCATTAACTGAACATGCAGCTGAACGATGTCTTGATCGACAACAACAAACTGACGATACAACAGCAATTAGTTACTTTCTATGATGTTTAGAGAATTCTTGTCAGATATAAAATAAATTTGTGATGTGTGTTATTTGTGTTAGTCTAAGGAATAAATTCAACTTCTTTTCTTTTCTTTTTTGTTTCATAAAAATGATTAAAATTGTGAAAAAGCGCATTGAATAACAATTGAAAAAATTTTAAGAATCGAAAATAAAATATAAGGTTTGTATTGAAACCGATACTTGATTTGACTAACATAGGCCGAGTCCTGTGCATTAGTGAAACAATTATAACAGCAAAACAATTCTACAAGTTGCTTCAGTTCAGATGAACTACATGAAATTTTGGATAAAGATAAGTGCCATTCATCTCTTATAAATTATCAGCTCATGTTGAAATTGTCAGTAGTTTATATTTCGTTCAGTTTCGTACCAGACTTTTTCTTTAGATTGAAGATGTAAAGTTAACATTTGGTCAATAAGAAGGTTACTGTATATCGAACTATTTTAAACAATCAGCTTGCATGACTACGTGTAATTCGTTCAGTTAGAGAAAAAACACATTGCAAGATCGATGCCCGTTCACATATGAATGCACTGATTTTAATAAATTCGTTTCCAAATCTTTTTCTTTTTAATCATTTTCACATATGGACAGTAAAGTATCTATTTGTTGAAAACCAAACTAAAACACAACATCTTTTTGCATTTTTACTGCTCCATAAAATTGTAAACAAAAGAAAATACTGGTATATAAAATAGTAATCGAATGTATTTTTTAAATTATGGTCGAAATTTTACGTAGTAGGCATGTACGTATTGAGCCCAATCGTTACTAATCAAATATTCAGTTTTTTTTCTTCTGAAGGTACTTACCAACTTGTACAAGTTATTCTATTATAAACTTTCCATTTATGAATGACGAGTCTTATGCTTTTATTAATTCACTTGTCTGAAATAGTTTGTAGTTAATATATTCTACTTTTAAAAGAT